TTAGTGTCGATAAGCGTATATTTGTGGTGGGATTCGGTCTCTACGGGTCGTCGAACGGCGCCGCAGACTATAAGGTGAAGATAGAGTTGAAAAGAACGGGAAAATCACACGAAATATTGGCCGAAAACCACACAAAATTCTTCTCCGATGGTTCGAGCAATACATTCAACGTCTACTTCGAGCACCCGATTCAGATCGAAGCGGACACTTTCTACACGGCGTCGGCCGTATTGGACGGCCAGGAGCTGAGCTATTTCGGTCAGGACGGGCTCACCGAAGTGACCATCAATGCGAACGTGACCTTCCAGTTCCAGTGCAGTTCCGACAGCACTAACGGCACCGGCGTTCAGGGCGGACAGATCCCAGAGATCATCTTCTATGGACCAATGGCTCACTCTTAGAGCCGTTCATCCCATTGTTAAACCACTCATTGAATCTCAAATGCAAACATCACTACAAAAATGTTGGCTTCGTTTTAGTCATTCTGTATATAACTCTTAGACTATATTTACATTTTATTTTTTAAAATCAATTCAATTGTACTATAATTTTCAAAATATGCATCAATTTATTGACTAATTATTATATATAGAATTCTAGACCTGTTTTTCTAATCACTGACTTTTGGTTGTAATTATCGTTTATATTATACAATATTACACATAATATACCGGAAATATCAACACAAATATTACCCAATTATACCAAAACATAATAACCCAAAAGTAAAACCATTTATTGCTGTCTTTCAATAAACCAATCCTTAAATACCAATCATTTTTTGTTTAAGTTTTTCAAACAATTTCCATACAATTATAGCCGTAATATAGCATTGAAAGCAATCATCAAATGTTTATTTAATTAGAAATAAAACTCAAGAAATAAAATCTATTAATAGTGGCGAAGAAATTGAGATAAATGTGTGGCAAATAAGGCGCTCATCGTTTGTATCGTTTAGGTCTGGTTTGCAGAACATTGAGGAATTTGCCCCTGGTCATCTCTCGCGCCTCTTCCAACCCCAACTGATACGACAAGTTCTGCAATTCCTTCACCTTCTCGAGCAGTGCGGAAGCGGTCAGTGACCCGAAGCCGTGCAACATATTGATGTCGTCCGGATCCAAGTCTGTCAACCATTCGCTCGATTGGTTCCGAGTGTCGAACAATGGCGGCGAAGAGTTGGCCAAAAACTCCGACACATAATATACCGGAAATATCAACACAAATATTACCCAATTATACCAAAACATAATAACCCAAAAGTAAAACCATTTATTGCTGTCTTTCAATAAACCAATCCTTAAATACCAATCATTTTTTGTTAAAGTTTTTCAAACAATTTCCATACAATTATAGCCGTAATATAGCATTGAAAGCAATCATCAAATGTTTATTTAATTAGAAATAAAATCTATTAATAGTGGGGAAGAAATTAAGATAAATGTGCGGCAAATAAGGCGCTCATCGTTTGTATCGTTTAGGTCTGGTTTGCAGAACATTGAGGAATTTGCCCCTGGTCATCTCTCGCGCCTCTTCCAAACCCAACTGATACGACAAGTTCTGCAATTCCTTCACCTTCTCGAGCAGCGCGGAAGCGGTCAGTGACCCGAAGCCGTGCAACATATTGATGTCGTCCGGATCCAAGTCTGTCAACCATTCGCTCGATTGGTTCCGAGTGTCGAACAATGGCGGCGAAGAGTTGGCCAAAAACTCCG